TTTTGCATTGGCTACATAAAAGATATGATGTAAGCATTTCTGGCTGTTTTTTTCCAGCAGGCTTGAAAGTTCTGAGTTGCAGAGAAGTGGGACTTTCTCCACTCACTTGGATGGGAATCAGTAAACTCTTTATTTGACTCCAAGTAATCTGAGTGGCTTTAGCTGTGGCTTTTATGAACAACTGGTCAATTAGTATCTTTTCTTAAATGGCTTTGTGGTTTTAAAGGGCTAGAATCAGCATACTATTTCCTTCTTGTCAACTAAATGTAACATTAAATTGTAAATTAAAACATAGGGCTCAAGGTAGCACACTTTTTAAACTCAAGGGAGCTCAGCCAAAAACCATTTCAAACCATGAAGACCTGGCTGTGTTTGCCATCTTTCAAAAGGCGTTGGTAGGTGTATGTTTGCTCCTGTGTATGAGAAGAAACAAGGAAGCAAATGCTTTTATTTTTTTCCCCAGCTGAAGGAGTGCTTGATCTGGATCATGTTGAGAGTGGGAAATAAATCAGCCAAAACCCATAAAGCTTGGCAGAAACCAAAATTTCCTTCTTACAAAAAAACACACACCCCTCTCTGTTACTTTGTCCAGCTTTTCACATGGCTCCTCAGTCCTACTTTTGTCCTACCTTCCTCCTTTTAACACGGACTCTGATTTATTTTTCAGACACACAGGAATATAATGCTGCTTGTCTTCTTCAGGCTGCAGTATGATACAACACAGCAGTTCTCTGTCTTTTCATATCCCAGTCTGACAGTTCAGACCAAAATTTAATGTACTTTTAAAAATTACTGTAGTTACTCTCTCAAAGTGATAGGAAGGGGATACTCCCAGTTTCAGGAAACCTAGAAAAAGAGTCTTTCCTATGCCATCATATTCACTTTTTCCCCTCTCCCCCATGGCAGTCCCCCACAGGCCATCCTGGGAAGCAGACAACCTTTTCTTCCTCTTCCTGTCACTCTGATGGCAATTCAGCCCTTTGCAGTGGAGGGCTGCCACCAGGACAAAACATTATTCTCACCAAAGGCCCCACCACAGACTCTTCCTCCTACTTTTCCAAGGCTGTGTCATTAGTTTTTCTCACTTTTACTAGTTTTTCTCACTTTTTAAAATTACAGGCATGTGCCCTGGACCATCTTTCCTGTGGCCAGTGCAATCTGCTAAGGGCAGCAGAGCCAAACTGCACCCTTGCTTTAGCATTTGATCTGCCCAGACATAGTAGAACTATTCCTCATTAAACAGACAAGAGATGAACGTCTGGAACCTGATAGCCATTAATACAGACATCGTTAGTTCTGCTTAATCACTTCATTTTCCTTGATAACTGTATTATAAATATATATGAGTCTACAGTACTGGACTGGTAAGTGATCTGCTACAGTTGCTAATCAAATCTCTGTTACTTGTCGGCATTTAAAAAAGCTCCTTGACATTTTCAAATCTCTAGATGAGGTAGGAGGATACCACAACAAATCACAAAGGATGGGAAAAGCGAAGAATTATCCAAATGGAGAGAGAGCATGGCTTCCCCACTGCTTAAACAGAAAGGAAAACATTTTATCCCATAAAATGTTGGGGATAAATTCACCATAAATAAAAGGCCAATCTAGAAATGGAAAGATTTCCATTTGGTCTTACCAAGCCTGTTTGAAAACTTATGATCCAGGGCTTTGTACGCCTCTGAGGATGCAAATCAGCCAAAACTACAGAGGCCTGAAGTGAGAAGAACAGCACTGGAGTGAGTGAGAGGGAGGGGTCCATGTGGCAGAGCGACACAAAATTCTCTTACAACAGCTCTGAAAATGCCCTGGGTGGTTTGTCTGACATTTCAAGTTAGATGTTTCACCTACCAACAGATTGACAGATCAAGTTGCTGCAACTTTATCAGCTATTAATTGTGTCTAGGCCAGGACAGCTCTTTGTAGTGCCCACCTAGGAATTCTAGACTTATTTGCTTAGCTAGTAAAGAGACAGGAAAGGGATTTTTAACCTAAAAACATTGCAAAAGAATTAAATATCCTAGAGTATTTACTGCAAAATTTGACATTCTGGAGAATTTCCATACCAACTAAAAATTGATCCTACACCCCTATAGATTGAGCAGGACCCTCTGAGATGAGAGCACCATAATGCAACACACCAGCCACTGTGCAATAAGAAACAAACTCACTTCTTTTTATCTTTTGTCTTTGTAATGAGAATAATATTGTTTTTTCTTGTTAGAAAGTGCAATATAAATGGCATTAATAAAGTAGTGAACATGAAAACAAAGCAAAATCCCTGTTGCAGAGTAGCTGCAAAAGTTAAGGGGCATTATGGTTCAGTCCTCTGGTGTAGAATTTGCAATACTGCAAATCCCATAAGAACACTTGCTCACACATCCCATGGCACCACCCCCTCATTCCCCCTAAAAAGCCTAAGAAGAAAGCTGTACCCTTTCTGGGGGAGGTGGGATGATGTGGAGCACGCAGTGGCTGGTTTGTTCTGATTAGTGCTAACACCAGCCAGGAGCACGAGTTTGCATCCCATCCTGCCTCTCTTTACTGGGGCACACAACCTCCTAACCTCCACCCCAGAAAGTGATATCATTGCATGAATTAATCATCTGAGCAATTAATGGCAGCAAAGCGACCTCAGGTTTCCAGCACAGTGTCTGGCACCGGTGAATTGGCCATGACGTCAGCTTCCCTGGGGATTTGCTGGCGTTTTGCCCGTCCCGAGCTCCCCGTGGACTCGGAGGGCAGCAGCAAACAATGCAGGCACCCAGCCGGCAGCGACTCTGCCAGCACCACCGGGCTGCTGCTGCTGCTGCTGCTGCTGCAGCCTCAGGGGATGCTCCTCCTGCCAAATCTCCCAGGGAAGGTGCGCTTCCCAAAACCAGCAAGAGCAGAGGACTTCCTCTGATGTGCAGAGAGAGGGACTCTCCAGGAGCAATGAGTATCTGCCCACCTTTTGGTAGGGTGAACCTCCTGCTCTGCACCTGGGAGCTGTGCAGCCTTTTGTAGTGTGTGAGTAAGCAAGTTATTCGACTATTCCTCTGTTTTGGGGCAAATTGAAAGCATTTTGTTATACTGGGGAGTTTATTCTCAAATGGCCAGGGTTGTTTTTTTCATGTCTTCAATGACTCTGTTACTGTGAGTGCTTTGAAAGCTGGAGTCAAACACAACTATGACCATATGCCCTGTGTTAGATCCATTTTTTTAGTCAGCTATTCAGATGAGATGAGGAGAGCCTGCCTCTATCCTAACATTGCAGGAATCTGCAATGATTCCTTTTTTTCATCTCCCAATACAAATACCCTCTGCAAGGCGGAACCTTTCCATACTTTTACCAAGTGAGTGTCCTTGGCCCTGCTTGGGGTGCATGCACACGCTGTGAGACAGGGGGTCACACTCAGCCCACCACTCAGAGGAGCACAACCCAGCGACTCCAGGAGATGCCATGGGCAGAGTGTAGACATGAGTAGGGAGGTGCTCTCTGATGGGGATATCAGTCATTTTCTAAACCTTCAGGCCATGTGAGAAAACCACAGAAAAGAAAGAAGCTTGGGTAGAGGAAAGCTGACCCCTGATGTAAGAAATTTGGTGTCAGGAAGGAAGGAGAACCTATTTGGGCAAAAGGGTTTGGCTAATCCAAGATAAGCCATTTTGTAGCTTCTCCCTATGGGGTTTTCTGCCTTCTCTTTTTGGAGGCAGCCTCTGGCTGCTGCTTTCTGTGCAAGCAGTAAAAGCATATCTCCCTCCCCACTCATCATAAGAATGAGTTTCCAACAGAGATGAGATATCCACAGGTGAGCAACGTCTTAGTCTCAGCAATACTTTCCTCTGGATTCCAGCTTGAAAAGAATGAGGTAGTGAACCCCTATGAGAAGCAGCTAAAAATGTTAGTACCTTACAATGAGCTGTGACCCCTGCTCCAGGTGGTGACCGGAATAAGCTTACCCCAAATTCAGGACAGCCTTGTCTCACACCCTTGCAAAGATGTAAGCAGAAGAAGTGTGATTATAACATCACTGCGAAGGACACTCGCTGTCTGCATGGCTTAATGCCACTTGCCACGTTTGTAATCCATCTTCCCCCACCTGCCCCGTCTGTTCAGCAGTCACTTGTTATCAGAGCAAAGGCAGTGAAACAAAAGGAAGGGCAGAGGCTAATTTGCTTGATGTAGTCCTGTTCTTCCAGATGATGTCAATTTATGGGCTCTACCCCGATCCTCAGAGATGTTCACATTTGCATCATTAAAAGGGAAATAACAAATATGTGGAAGTAACTCAATAAGCTACCACTTTAGCTGCAGGCACAGCAGGCAGGATGGTTTGAGCATCAGTTTCCCTAACCAGGCACGTTCCCTGTCCCAATTCCCAGCCCATCTCCCCCTTGCTTTCCAGGTGTAGCCAGCTCAGCAGAGAGGATTAATCCACTTCCGTACTCACTTGCATTCTCCATGTTAGAGAATCTGATTACACAGATTGCCTGCAATTTATCTCTACCTGCGACACCTAATGCTCCAGTCTGATCTCCTCTTTCTCATTTTAACATCTCACTGCAGATCCAGAACATACACAGACAGATGCACATACACTTGCTCTGTTTTGTTTTCCAGCAGCTCACTAAGAGCCTCGGCATTTTCATTTTCAATCCAACCAGAAAGCACTACTGTTTTCCCCACTCTGCCCATGAGGTAATTCCTCCCTTTGGACTCCCCTCATTACATTTATACTGCACAGGCTCCATGCACTGCTGCTGGATCCACACAAACCACAGGAATCTCTGCACAGACACGCTCGGTGAGCATGCAGCCTTATAGAGCCCTGCAGCACGTATAAAGACAAAGGCACAGGCTACATGCACTGAGCAAGTGCCACCACATGCATTCCTGCTCCCTCCAAACCCTGCAGGAAAACATTGCCTGCAGAGTGCTTTCCTATGAACAAAATCAGCCTTTCAGCACAGGGTCAGTATATGATTCAGGCAAATCCCTTTCCCACCCGCTCCCTTACCTTTCCTTTCCTTATTCTGCTAATCCAGGGGCCCTGGACCGATTGCTTTTCCCTCCTGCACACAAACTGCCAGTCCGTCCTGCTTCACATTCACAGCACACCAGCAGGATTCACCGTCATCCCATTCTGCCGGATCCTTATCACCCTATTGGCCAATGCCAGACAGTAAATTCAATTAGGCTCCTCCTTATAACTATATTATCACAGGAACAGGAATGAATAATTTAGTAAAACAACAAGGGTGTGCAGGCTCTGGTGTCACAGACTTTACCCCCACTGTCAGGCTTTTATCAGAGAGGTGGGTAAAAAAAACCAGAATCTCTCTGTCACTCCTGAAAAGGAGACCTTAGATTACCCACTTGTATTCCCCATTCCATCCCTCTTGTCCTCCTCCCCCTAAGCCATGGCATTCCCATTTTATTGTTGTACCTCCTTCCTCAGCCCATAATAGAGTATTTCCCTTGTGAATGGTCACTACCGTCTCAGTGGTTGCAGAGATTTCTGTCCAGGCAAAGCGATACCGCAGAGCATCAAACACTTTGCCTCTTAGCTAAATGCAATACGTGAGAAAAGAATGAAACTGTTCTGGAGAAGGGAGTGACAAGACAAGCAGATCACAGGGAAAAGGGAGAGTCTGCATTGTATCACTGTATCCTCTGTAAAGCAACTCTGCTGTCATCCCATCGGTTCAGACACCCAGAGGATGCAAGTACATGGTTCCTGGGAGAGAAAGGTTCACAGATGCACTGCCCAGGGACTGTGATTTCACATGCCTGCTATGGGAGTTTGGATCCCCACATAAAAAAACCCACTCTAAAATGGCAGTTTTCCCCCAAACCAAATGACTAAAGTGTTCTGTTTTGGCACTTTTTTTTTCCTGACCAGAAATTTCTAGGGACAACTATCTATATTTGCATTTCCTAAGAAGTAGTTGGTCCCAAAACGAATACTGCTGGTTTTCCTCAGGTGATGGTTTGTTTGAAGAGTTACAGACCATTGCAGATTCCCTCAACAGGGTCACCACTATCTAAATCATGCCTCAGACCACTTTGATTGCCTAAAGAGTTTTATTTTATGGGAGGAATAGTGGAAGTGGAGGAGCTCAGCAGGGCAACCCTTTGGTATTCTCAGAACAGACCAGGCAGCCAACAGGGGTTTTTAATGATCATTCACAGCAATATTGAAAGCTACTGCTAATACATGCTGATGTGCACAGTATTAACAAAGAGATGTGTCATTCCACCGTTATTGAAAAATTAACAGGCAGGATGAAGCTGCTGTTCTTCTTCCCTTAGAGTCCAAGAACACCCTTTACACTCTGCTTTCCATGTGCTAATATTTACTCTGTAGAGTCTATATATCTACTACCACAATGATGAGAGGTTCAAATTTGCACTAAAGCCCAAAGCAACTCAAGCAACTCCTACACCAGCTCTTGGTTTGGCTCCTCTCCCAGGCTGGGTAGCCTCAGCTCTGCCTCCAGAGGCAGCAGGGACACCAGGGTGAAGTCAAGCCCAAGTACCAGCAGAGATACAAAGGCAGTTCACTGGTGACAGACCAGAAGTTTTCCTAAAGGCACTGCCTTTCCTTAGGCACTGCCTTCACATTGAAAGACTAGCAGGAAGCTGGGACAATGCATGGGGGTTGCCAGCTCCTAAATGGCTGGGCTATCTACCTCCATCTCAGTCCCAAAGCAGGATCGAGCCATGCTGCCTTCCCTGGGAGAATGGAGTACAGGATCAGTGGATGCTTTTGCCCTTCTCACCAAGTTCAAAGTGATCTAAAGAGTGAAAAGGTAACAGTCTCAACTAAGCTTTTGTCTTTCTCTGTTATGGGCTTCTTTGCCACAAAAAGGGACAAAACTGCCCTCTTGATCCTGAAGTTGCTTCACTTCTGAAGAACGGCAGCTGCTCTTTTCCTCCTCCTTGTTCCCTTGCAGCCATCCAAACTTTATTCCTGTGTTAAAGGAAAGCCTGAATTATGCACTTGGTGGTAGCTTCAGAGCAATTAAACTAAGCCATGTGGCAAGTTGCCCAGTGTCACTACCAAAGCTCAGGATGTTTTAGCATCATTTGTTGAGGAGCTTTTACATGATGCTTACTTAAACCACAAAAAGAGAGCAAATTAGGCTGTTGCCATGACAACTAGGGAATCTACTCAAAATTCAGGAGATGCTGGGGAGGGGGGAAGAGCCCTTCAGTGGAGATCTCTGCATCATGAATATGGCCCTTGGTTATCAAATTCCTTTCAAGTTAATTCCTAGCATCAAAGCCTCCCTGACAAAGGCTTTAATAACTGGGAGCAAAGCTTGGCTAAAGAGGGAACAAACCAGCCCTCCCAGCACTAATGTGAGTCTCACTCTGCTGTGAGGTGCTCAGCTGTGTGGTCCACAGAGCAGTCACAGAGGGGGCAGCCCTGCCACAGGAGCACATATGCAGCAGGGCGCAGGAAGGGGCAGGGGCGTCACTGCAGGCAGGCGCTGGAGAGACAGACAGACAGACCCTGAATCTGTGCTGCAGTTAAGAGGAGAGACAACTTCCACAGGGGAGAGGGAGAGAAGGAAGAAGAGTCCTCACCACCTCTGGTGGAAACCCTCTGGAAGTTGAAACAAGCTGAGCAAAGTCTTTTGCTAACCCCAAGGAATGAATTAAAGCAAATAAGAGAAAAAACCTGCAGGATCAATGGTGTCAGGAGAATCTGACAAACTAAGCAAATGGAAGACAGGCTACTACACTACAGTTCTTCTGAAGGAATTAAATCCCTGGTAGGATTGTTGAATATTTTCTATCAAAGCTGGCTCTCTTTCTAATTTTTCTTCTCTTTTAGCTGAATATTTTTTCTTTGCGCGCCTTCTAAGAAAATCACTGTTTTAATAGAAAATTTTCAGTGAAGTCTTCTGGTTCTCAATTGCAATAGCTGAGGTATTCTTGGCTGAAAACAAAGTACATTATTTTGGAAAAATTCCAGACAGCTTTGTAGTTTTCATAGAAGCTCTCTCCTTCCCCATAATTATTTTTGATCAGATAATTTATTGCTAGTGGAAGTTTTGGTATTCTCCTTTGAAATGATGCCTTACTGGGCATAAGCCCCTTTTGAAGGGTAGCAGCAGTAAGTGGGAGCAGATCCAAAATTAGGGAAATTTAAGCACTTGGGCAAATGAAGTTAAATTGCAAAAGTTTCTTGTCCTCTCTTTTCATCTCCTGATGAAGAACTGTGTTTAGCATGAAAATCAGAATCAATTGAGAAATTTAAGGATAGATAAATGATTGTATTGTAGTGAGCATTACAGTCCAAACAGGATCCATGCCAAGCAAAAGCACACATACTACAGAGATACACAAGTTCAAGAAATTTTGAAAAAAAAAATCCCTGTTTATAAAAACGATGCATTTTCATTATAATACAATTGTTCCCATACCTGATGTTCAGTTCATCTTTTGAGCCCCAAAATTCATTGGAAGTCTGCCTTACTTGAAATGTTGTGGCATTATTTCAACATCTTGCGTCAGTGTTGATCTTGGCGTCTTCTTCCCAGTGCCAGGGTATCCACATGCACACGTTGCTGAGAGTGTCCAACGCCTAACTGGTTATAACTGATCAGAAAACAAGGCTTTAATTCATTATCTACTTGCAAATGAGACTGGCTGTTCCTTTTCCTGCTCCCTCCCTGCCATTTTGCCAAAGCCTTGCACAAAACATTTATTAGGCAATCTCATTGTAGCAGCTGGAGTAGGCTGGGCTGCACACAAGCCAGGCAGGGTTGTTTTGGACCCACAAGCCTGAGGAACATGAGGAACAGAGAACAGGGAGATAGGAAGAAAAGAGCAATGTATAGCAGAAGAGGAACGGCTCCTTAGAAGTATCTGGGATGTTATTTTCTGAAGTGGGACAAGTTGAATTTCTTTTATCTAGTCAGATTGAGGCATTATTCTGAGGCTTCAATGCTACTGCATATCTGTATGGTGGTCTCTATAAAAAGCATATTACCATCCCACTGAAAACATGTTTTATTATCTAAACATGTTCTTAATTAAAACGGTTTTTCATTCTTCAGCAATAGTGACTTATTCAAACAAACTTTTCAAGAACTTCTAGGTATCATCTTGTCATCTAGGGAAAGAAAAGTGAACAAATTTTCTACTGGTATTCTTTACTTCAGTGAGTAAAGGTGAGGAGCAGCTGAGGGAGCTGGGGCTGCTCTGCTGGAGGAAAGGAGGCTCAAGGGAGACCTCATCACTCTCCACAAGCACCTGAAAGGGGGCTGGTCACTTCTCACAAGTGTCTCAATAGGACAAAAGGAAACTAGCTCAAGCTGCATGCACTAGAGGAGCTTTAGATTGGATATTAGGAAAATTAAATCCTCACTGAAAGGGTTGTCAAGCATTGGAACACACTGCCCAAGGAAGTGATTGAGTCACCACCCCTGGAGGTATTTAAAATACATGTACATGTGGTTCTTAGGGACACAGTTCAATGGTAGACTTGGCAGTGTTAGGCTAATGGTTGGAATTGATCCCAGAGGCCTTTTCAAACCCAAATGATCCTATGATTCCATGATTCACTAAAATGTTTCTGTAATTAGCTTATTCATTGCAGTGACTTCTTGCTATCTCAAAGACAATAGCAATGAGGCCTTTAAAAGCCATGTTTTATCCCACTCTGCTATTCTTACACAAGAAAGCACAAATATAATTTTTTCCATGAGGCTCTGTGAGTACAAATCTATTTAATAGCTTTAATCATGTTTAAAAATACATCGCATTTTCACCAAGTCCTGTGCCATGCTTTGCAAAGCGTCGTTTCTAGGCTGTTTTCCAAGACAAAAATAGTGTTCCTGTTCACTGATGGTATGGATTTTCCCCTCCCAAAGATCAGAAAAGAGAGAGACCTGCCCTAACTCCGTGTCAGCATAGGCAACACACCAAAGGTTATAGCATCCATTTAGGATGAAGGAAACAAAGGGCCCAAACCTGAACAAAGCCAACAGGAGACTCACCTCTGGGTTCTCCCCAGCACAGAAAGTAACTGCACCAAGATTTTGTCAGCTATTCAGAGCAGAGACTACCATTACACCTCCTACAGAAATTATTCTACACTCTGGACACCCTGCAACATTGGGCCAAATACTGAATGGATGACCA